AGCCCTCGTGGGACGGCCAGTTCCGGGGTCCGCAGGGAGAAGCTGTAGTGTCCGGGATCTTGGCGGCGTCCACTCTTGGTGCCACACGAAACCTGACTCCCCCAGGGAGCCCCGCAAACTTCGAGTAGCGCCATGATCTTTCCTCTTCCACTCCGCTCACGGACTAAGCCTCCTAACCCACGGGAAGTGAAAGCGAAAGCCTGGTACAGAGAGGGCGGGAGCCAGAACTAGAGCTTTCCTTCCCCATCCACCCACCTCGCCCACCCCACCCCCCATACACACACACCTCAAGCCAGGGGGAACCAACGTGGATACTGTCACAGTATCGTAGAGTTCTGTCACGGAGGCCTCAGAAGAGAGAGAAAGTGTGGATAAGAAAAGATGGGCTGTCAGAGGGAGGGGAGACGAGGAAGATGGGGACCACATGTAAGGACAGGAAGTTCAGAGAGAGCAGCTTTCTATCGAGGGACATCTGAAAAAGACGGGCTGAGCCTTGGACAAGATCAGAGAAGCTGGAACCTGCAGGAATGGGGCTTGGGTCCGATTAACTCTCCTGGGCTAGGGAGTCGCAGAGATGGGGGTGAGGATTGAGGGAATCGCCCTCTGCACGGTCTGGCTAGCAATCCAGAGTGTGGCAGTGCTGTGGGGTGGAGTGAGAGATGCGTCTGGAGACACCTCACTCCGTCCCTTCTCCCCACCTCTCCGCCCAGCAGCCACGATACTTTGGCAGTGTGCAGTTCTACTTGGGGAGATGAAACAAAATACTAGGGGAAGGGAACGCCCTCCCGCCCATCTATTTTCTTAAATTGCTGCCACCCAAAGGCAGAGTCTCCCCCCCCCCGCTCTCCGAACACCCCACGGTTAACTTCATCTAGCTTCTCAGGGTGCAATTTCCTAAACTAAGCTCCAACCTGTGACAGCCTAATCTGCCTAGCAACCAAATATGTCACGATACAGATCCCTTCTTGATTGGACTAGATTCTCAGGCGCTCTCCACAGGCGAACCTGAGTCAAGAAAGCTACCAAGAGGCAATTGCGAAACCTTGGAAAGCTAAGAAATGCCGTTGGTTTGGAAAGACGGTGCAGAGAAGTGAGGGGAAAAAAGAGAAGAGGGGTGAGCGCTTCAGTGGAGAGTGCAGTGAAGCCTGTTCCTCAAAGTGCTCCCTCTCTTTGCTCCGCTCCCCTACCTCCACCTTTCACTTCCAACATAGAATAGAGCAGCAGGAGCATCCCACCCCCAGCCCCAGGACACCAGGTACCCGTCATCCTGTAACAGATGCTGGAGGGGAGAGAACTGGGGCCGGAGGAAGGCGGAGAAGAGGTAAGGTAGAAGAGATTAGAAAAGGGATGGCTAAGGGGCTAGTAGCGGGGCAGTAGAGCAGCAGTCTGAGAATTGATAATGATGAGGCATTGCATTTGTATAGAGCTTCCCATTTTACGTGCACTGATTTGCCGATTATAGCAGCAGCAGCATTCTGCTTTTAGTACTTTGAGGTTGGCAAGGAGTTTTAGGTAAGTCTTCCTATTTGATCCTCTCATAGGGTCATAGAGCTAGGAATGTTAGCGGCCAATTAATCCAACGTCTTTATTTTACAGGTGGAGAAAGCGAAGCCTACATAAGTTAAATGACTCACTCGAGGTCATACTGGTAGTAAGTGGCAAACTTGGATTTTAATCCAGATATGCTGTCTGCAAATCCAGCAATTTACTCACTGCACCGTCCTGATTCCTCCAAACTTGCGGTTTTACAGCAGAGGGATCATCAGATTTTGACGTAGGCAAAAGCCTTAGGGATCATCCAGAGAATTTCAACGTCCTCCTTTTGCAGAAGAGGAAACCAAGGCTCAGAGAGAGGAAATTTGAAGCAAGCTCCTCTAAATCCCAAAGCAGTGCCCTTTACCTAACAACTCAATACAGCATGCTTTATAAATCTTTAGGCTTTATATGTAGTGCCTCTGGGGATTTCCACCACCCCCTGCAACTCACAGATTTGGTTTTTCCCAAAAAAATAGCTCTTCACTAGTTTCAAGGTACTCTGAAGGTCTACATTTCCCAATACCATAGCTCATGGGTCCCATAGTTAAACTTTAATAGACAGAGGAAATACTAATAAATAAAACATTTCTAGCATAAACATGTGGTGCACTAGCCTACAAATTCACACATCACTGTTTGGAGTGGACACATGTAGGAATATGAATGGATAGGGGCACACGTAAGGAAGGAGTGTAACCAGAGCACAAACACAGAAAAAGATTATGGAGGCCACTGGAAGGACGGGTCATATTATTGTGCTGCTCCCACCAGGTCTACCTGGGCAGGGGGAGGGGGAATACTCGTGGTATCATAGTTTCACTCTAATACTGCTCAAATAGATGCTACTTATTGCCTCCAATTTCTGACTCAGCAGAAAGCCTTGGCTTTCTCTTCCTCAAAGGAATAAAATGACAGTGCATCCATTTTCTTTTAATTTAAAGTATATAGGTCTTTCCTATTCCTTTTAGAAAAAGTCAGAACCTTTGGCATGGCACCAGCAGGATACCTCCACTTGGGTTCTCCTGGTTTGTTCCTCTAAGCTTTTCTTGTATCATCCAGTCCTTTGACAATCTGCTAAAGCCTATGGACCTCTTCTAAGATTGATATTTTAAAATACAACATGAAATAAAATACTGAGGATTACCAAGGAAGCCAGTTATATTAAAACACAAAAATAATTTTAAATAAGTTTGTGGATCCCAAGTTAAGAACTCCTGCTAGAGTATTGCTTTCTACATTATTCCCACATAGTGCAAAGAAGCCTTTTCTCTCCCAATCAGGTGATTCTCAGCCCTAGATGCTAAGTTAGCCAAAGATCTGGGTTCTTTCAGCCCAGCTAACTGTTTTACCTTAAGCCATTTCTCTGAATTTGTCTTCCTGGGTCAGGATACTGAGTCCCTCTACCAAATACCTCAGCCTTGCTTATAGTGAGCATTCCATATCCTTCTAGTTGTAGGCAGTGGTTATTTGTCTAATAACTACCAAACAGCCCTGGGATTCAAAGTTCCCCAGTTTTCAAACTCTAATTTTTTTCTGCTGTGGAGATGAGTAGAGGAGGAAAAGGCAGAGATATGCTAAGCTCAGGAGATAAACTCTCTCTTCTCCTCCATATAACCACATTCTTGCCCCCTTTCAAATGAAGACAGAACCAACACAAAGTCTCTGAGTAGCTTGAGAGACAAGCTCCGGAATAAATGTGCAAAGGTCTTTTCTGGAGATACAGACAGAAAACTGAAAACAGACTCTTTCCTTCAGAAACTTACAGTCTCCTTGGTATGCAACATACAAACACATAAGTAAATATAATTTGCAGTGGTAGAGAGGGAACAAGGGAGATTAGGAATGTCTGTCCAGAGAAAGTGAATCCCAAATTGAAACTTAAAAAAAGCAAAAAGGCTCAAATGAAGAAGGAATGATTTCCAAATATGGAAGGACAGCCTGTGCAAAGTCCTGGACATGTAAAATTCAATATCAAGCTCAAGGAATAGCAAAAGGGGAAATTTTCCTGAAATGTGCAGTACTTGGAAGCGAGTAAAATGAAACGTCTTGAAAAGGAGATTAGTGACCATTTGTGAAGAACTTTAAATGCCAACTGGATCACTTTGTATTTTATTCTAGAGGCAATAGGAAGCCAATGAATACTTTTTTTAAGATCAGGATTGGGAATGAGGGACGGTAATGGTCAAATCTATGCCTTAAGATTATTTTAACAGCTGTGAGGAATATGGAATGTAGAAACAAGACAGTGGAGGTAGAGAGACTAATTAGAAAGCTGGTGTAATAGTCCAGGAGAAAAGGGGAGAAAGGCTGGAACTTGAGGAAAAAAAAGTGGAAGTAAGAAATGTTGTGGAGATATAAACAATAGGAGTTGACAACTGATGGAATGGTTGAAAGAGACTGAAGCTCCATGGATGACTATGAGGTTGATGACAAATCTGGGTGACTACCAGGATGGTGGAACACGCAATAGTAATAGGAAAATTTGAGAGGGCGGTAGGTTAAGGAAGGAAGACAATTAGTTCCATTTCTGGACGTGTTGAATTTGAGATGCCTGTGGGACAATTGAATTGGAGATGCGCAGACAGTTAAAGATGGGAGACTGGAGCTCATGAGAGAGATGATGGCAGACTATATAAATTAAGAGGTTTTCTCAAGAGACGTAAATGAACCTCGTGGGAGCTGATGAGATCATTGAGTCTAGAAAAAGAAGAAAAAAGGACCCAGAACAGATTTAGTGAACACTCATGCTTAGGGGGCAAGACAAGGTTGATAACCTAGTGAAAGAACCTCAGGAAAAATGGTCAGATAGGTAGTAGGAGAACTAGGAAAGAACAATGTCATGAAAACAGAGATGAGGGTATGTATCTAGGAGGAACCTGTCAACAGTGTCAAAAACTGAAAATTCAAGAAAAATGAGAACTGAGAAAAAACCATTGGTTTTAGTCATTAAAAGAGCTTTACTAACCTTGGAGAAAACAGTCTCCACTGAATGATGGAGGGACACAAACCAAATGACGTGAAATGAGAGGAGAGTGATAGGAGGAAGAAATGGAGTCAATGACTGTAGAAAATTTTTGATAGAGTTTGGAAATTAAATGGAGGAGATATGCAGGAGGAAAGCTTTAGGGGATGGCAGGATTTAAGGAATGAGGGAGATCTGGGTTTGTTTCTAGATAGCAGGAAAGACACCAATAGGTATAGATTGAAAATGAGAGAGAAGAAGGGGGCTCAGAGTCTAAGTGACTTGCCCAAGGTTACACAACTAGCAGATAACAAAAATTTGAATGCTCAACTCTTCTGACTCCAACTGTATACTTCTAACCATACTTTTTTAGGAGACTAGGGAGAAGAGGACAGAAAAGCTGAGTTTTGAGGATTCCAATACTTAGTCGGCATGACATCTAGGAGAAGACCTGCAGAGGCCCTGAACTACTGTAACTGCAAAAACAGAGGAAACACAAAACTTAAGAAAATACCAAGTTTATTCTCAACACCAAGAATTTCCACAGTACTTCTGGGTCAGCTGCATAGAGGATTAATCCTCCAATGCCCCTATCACCACTTTGTATATAGAGACACCACAGTCAACCTCTCTGGTAACTTTCTTCCTCACTTTCTGTGCCCCTTTAACTCAAAGGTCTTGAACTCTAGCTCTATAAAATATGACATTGTTATCTGTACTTTACAAGCTCTAGAACTAGGCAGTAATAAAACATAATCTCCTTGGTGTTGTTTTCTTTCTGTCTTCATATCTCCAGTGCCTAGAACAGTGCTGGCACAAAGTTGGTGCTTAATTAGTGCTTGTTGAAAGGATGAATGAATTCCCACTAAGTTATTCCCATTAAGAGAACATTTGCCTTCCCCTCCACTAATTGTAATTTAAAAGAGTGAAAGGAATTAGTATTGGTGATGGGAATATAATTAGTAGGAGTATAATTGTGGCATGGAAAACCTTTCTGGAACTGCTAAATCATATCATGTGGGAAAAAGAGACTAACATTCTTCCTCTGTCCTTCCATTTTCAGGAGATGAGAGAGTTGTATGTTCCATCATAATGGGGATTCAAGTATGTCACTCATTCCTGAGGAGCTGAGTTCCCACTTATGGCCTCCACCATGGTCCAGTATCGGCCCTTTTTCTCCATAAGCTGCCTATGGGTCCAACTCTCCTGAATGACCCCCTCCTCAAAGAAGAGTATGTGGTCAGCCCTTTCCACAGAGCTGAGACTCTGGGTGATGAGTAGCACTGCCTGAGAGGCCCTCCTGGGGGCCTCATACACAAGCTGCTCCACCTGTAGGAAGGAAGGCACAGATGCTGTTAGTAGTTTAGAAAGCCTCATGCACAAACCACAGCATTAATGCCATTGGCATTAACTGTCTCATCCATAGTAACCCCTTACTGTACTCCCATCCCAAAGAACTAGCTATAAGAATTCTATGAGCTCTAGGGAAAGAAGAATAAACCCAGCACCTCCCTAGGCATAGTTCTGCATGTAATCAAGGTTTTTTGGTGGTGCTAATGATGGTGATGATGCCAATGAAGAAAAAAAAGAAAAGAAGTTAAATTTAGGAATTTTATCTAGAAGATTTGTATAGTATAGGCTTTCTCAAACAGAAAATTCTCTGGGCATACCAGGAAAGAATTAGAGTTCCCTTCAGATTTAAAGATTTGGGAGTTAGGAGAGTTGGACAGATTGCTGTCTCACCCTCAACTGGTTGTCTGTATCCAGGGCACTGGTGGCATCATCTAGGATGAGGACTCGAGAGTTCCGGATCAGAGCCCAAGCCAGGGCCACTGCCTGCCGCTGACCACCTGACAGCTGGCTCCCAGACTCTCCTATCTCTGGAGAGAGAACCAGATGCGTTGAGAGCAGGACAATTACAGCCACACAAAAACATATGCTTTCTCCCTTGGAGTAAAGGAGATGGATAGGGCTGAGACCAGTTCCTCAACACAGTAGTGGGATGATAGACATTCTGTGAGAGTCCATGGAAACCAAGGAATGAGATTTCAAAGGCCTTAATCCACCCATCTTTGTAATTCCTGCCCTAGAAGACAGGAGTCTGAACTATCTAGGCTCTTGAATCAGTGGGAGAAAACTCACCTAGCCCACTGTATCTAGTCAACCCCAAACCACATTACATACGCCATCCACTCATCCATGTGGATATCTTGCCATGGGCACTGCCACTGCAAGTGTACACTTTCCTTCTCTTTCCACCTCTTCCTTTGGACACAGTCATGCTATCAATAGTACCATTGCTTCTAAAAAGGACTGTTCTATGGATTACTCAACATCCCTGTGATTCTACAGTATAAAATTATTTTCCTTGGCTACTCCTTGCCTATGTGTGTTGCCTCTCTTTATTAGAAGATAAGCTAGTTGAGGGCAGGGACTTTCTTACCTTGGTATTTGTAACCCCAGCACTTAGCACAGTGCTTGGCACACAGTAAGCACTAAATAATAATAGGTAACATTTATATAGCACTTACCACGTGCCAGGCACTATGCTAAGCCCTTTATAATTATTATTTATTCTACAATTATTATTTCATTTGATCTCCCAGAAACCCAGAGGGGTGGGTACTGTTATTATCTCCACTTTACAGGTGAGGAGACTGAGGCAAACACTTAAGTGACTTGTCCAGTGTCACCCAGCTAGTAAGTGCCTGAGACTGGATTTGAACATTTATATTTTTGAGGCAGCTAGGTAATGGTATAGTGGATAAAGCCTAGGCATGGAGTCAGGAAGACCTAAGTTCAAGCAAGGTCTCAGACACTTAACTGGGTATGAGACCCTGGTAAGCCTGCCTCAGTTTCCTCAGTAGTAAAAATGGAAATGATACTAGCACTTACCTCCCAGAGTTGTTGTGAAGATCAAATAAGATAACATTTGTAAAGCACATAGCAACGTGCCTGGCACATAGTAGCTACTTAATAAATTATTGTTCTATTTTCCTTGTTCCCTTCCTCTAGTATTGATTAAATGCTTTTTCAATGATTCATTCATTACTTGCCTATTTCTGATAGCCGAATTAAAGATGAAATGGATTTAGCCAGGTGTTGGAAGGGAAATGTCAACTTGGGAGTGAATTTTCACAGTACCTGTGTAGTAGCCCTGAGGCAACTGAGAGATGAAACTGTGAGCTCCAGCCTGCCTGGCAGCCTCCATGATCTCCTCTAGCTCTGGCTTCTGGTCCAGCCCATAGGCTATGTTTTCATATAGATTCCGTCCAAACAGCTGTGGTTCTTGTGACACTGCAGCTACCTGGGATGAGCCAGAATAAGGGAAGGTGAAGTCAGGAGGAGAAGGAACTCAGATCAAGGCTTGGATATTTCCACTCCTCATGATAAATTCTTCATCATTGTCACATCCACCAACTGCTGCTAGGACCAGGAGTTCTGCCTGTCCTTCTTTCTCCTATTCATTCCTTCATTGACCTATTCTCCTAAGGGTATTCTGACCTACCCAGGTGATAATCCTCACCTGTGAGTGCAGGTATCAGTGCTGGTATTGGGGCAGTGGCTTTCCATCTAGCAGCAGTTGGCCCTTTGTAGGCTGATACAGATTCTGCAGCAATGCAGCCACTGAGCTCTTCCCAGCCCCATTGGGCCCCACTAATGCTGTCACCTTCCCTGGGTACAGAGTGAATGTCACTCCCTAAAGGAACAAGAAAGGGAAGGCATCAGGGGAGAGATAGAGAGAGCCTATCCTCTGGTTGAGCAGGTACATACCAACCCCACCATCACATATAAATACAGGGACATCCTCACATCATGAGACAGGGCTAGAGTAATTCCTGCATAAAAGGGAGGAAGAAAGAGAAGGGAGAATAGAACAGAGTTGAAAGGGGAAAAAGGTACTCGGTCCTCACTACCAGAGCAAGGGGAAAGTGGAGACACTTCATAGTGAGATTTTATGGCTCCCTTGAGACACCCAACCTGATTTGTGAGTTTGAGACAACCTTGTAGGTAGGTTCTCTCTAATCTTTTCTCTTCCTCATATGGAAAGAGTGGGGGAAGTTAAAGCAAAAGCATCTCATCCAGACCAGGAAAGAGGACAGATGAATTGAGGAAGGGTTCTATCTCAGAGGACATCTGAGAGCCTGGGAGTTGGAAGAAATGGAGTGTGAGAGGCAGGAGGTGATACCTGTAGGACCAAGAGATCTGGCCAGCTGGAGTAAGCAAAGAAGACATCTTGGAACTCTACAAGGCCATGCAGGGTAGGAGGTGTCAGGGGACCACTGGAAGGGCATTGGGGTATCTGGTCTAAGTACTCAAAAATCTTCTCCGAGGCTCCCACAGCCTTCTGCACACTGGGCAAGGTGGAAAGCAATACCTGAAGAAGAGGGATGAGCCATGAGGAGGGTGAGGGGATACCATGTGTTGTCTGGGATATCTGACAGGAGAGCTGGAAAGGGGACACTGAAAGTGATGGGAAAGGAGGAATAAGGAGCAATGGTCAATGCAGAGGTCTCACCTTAACAGCAAAGGTAAACTGGATCTGGTAAAGGACAAAGTTGACAAGGTCTCCTCTACTCACATCCCCATTGGTCACCATCTTTCCCCCCATGTACAGAATGCCCACCTTCAGCAGGAGTCCTAAGAGCTGAGGATAGATCAGAGAGTACAAGTTGGGGACATCAGAGGACTATAAGAATAACTACTTCACATTCACGGAAATAATGGCATTGTAGCCTCAAGTATAGTCACAGAATCACATCATTAGGTATCATACAAGAACAGGAGTGGGGATCTAGGGAAGGAACTAAGGACTCTCTCTGAACTCATGATATCCATGCCCATTGAACAATATGTGTTCTTATCCCCAAATGCCCCCTCCATTAACCCTGGTGCCTTAGATGCCCCAAGAAAGGGAGAGGCAAGATGCAGGGACCTCATGGCACCCCAAGGAGGCTGGGAAAAGAAGGACTACACAGGAGAAAGACAAGTTATTTCCATGTACAGGAAGTAATGCTCTGTATCCCCTTGATGAAAGCAACTATCTAGAACCTCAAATAAGGGAAAGAGTTATAAGGCCAATCATTAGAAAGGGAAATTTGGCCCTGGAGCCCCTGGATGGTGATTAGGGTCTATAAATCCTAGGCTAGTAAGTGAGTACTCTATCCCCAGATACTTACATTACTGATGCACATGTTGACAGTGTAGGCCAGTGCCTCCTTCTGATTAAGTTTCTGTATCTTCTGGAGCTGATGGGCAAACTTCTGTGCCTCTCCCTCCTCACTGGCAAAGCTTCTGACTGTGGGCATAGCAGACAGTGCCTCCACAGCCACCTGGCTTGACTCTGCCAGGGATGTCTGCACTTGGATTGCCAAGGCCTGTGGGGACACAGTGTTGTGCAGAGAGGATTTTCTTAATACATTTAAATGATTGTACAGAAATTGATGGTGTGAAAGAAGAGGGAAGGCAGTCCTGTGGATCTGAGCACTTTCTATGTCCCTAGTCACAGAAGGGGACAATGTCAGGGGGTGGTTGAACATTCTCCCAGGTCCCTGCTGTAGAAAGGAGGCAGTGTAAGAAAACAGTGCCAAGAGTACTGCTTAGGGAGTTAGGAATCATGAATTCCAGTGTAAGTTCAGCTACCAGCTGGTTAGCCACAATGACCTGACAAGTTATTCATGTTGTCTGTTCTTCGCTGAAAAATAGGAATAGGAAAAAAATAAAAATAACACTTAAATTAACTAACTCATGGATGGGTGTGAGGAAAGAGATTTGTAATCTGTGAAATATTCTGTGGCTGCGTCATTAAAAACTATATTACATGACCTGCTAGTTGGTATAGTAGATAGAGAACTTAATTTGGAGCCAAGCAGACCTGAGTTTAAATCATCCCTCAGACATTAGCAGTGTGGCCCTAGGCAAATCACTTAACCTCTCCCAGGCTCAGTTTCCTCATCTATAAATTAGAGATAATAGTCCCTACCTCTCAGGGATATTGTGAGGATCAAATAAGATAATATATATAACGTGCTTTGCAAATGCTAAAGCACAGTGTAAATGACAGAAAATATTGTTATTGCTGTTGTTGTTGTTGTTATTCTCTAATGCAAGGATATAGAGACACCAGTACATACAGAGGAATTCAAAGACAGAGAAGAGTGAAAGCAGAAGGAAGGGATATACCAATCCCTTGAGAAACTGTAGGAATATAAGGATTCCAGAATTTGGGTACCCAGAGAAGAAAGAAGAATACAGGGAAAGGGAAAGAGTATCTTAGAAAGGACTGCAGACAATTGGTATAATAAGGGGACATGGTGAAGAAAAATGGGTAGAGAATGACCTAGAGACAGAGGCTATGGTAGGAAAGGGCCAGAATTCAGGCAAGAGAATCATCATGGCCACAGGGCAAAGGCTATGCACCCTATAGTCTTTTTAAGTATAGGGGGGCAAAGGAGGGCCAGAGGAACTAAGCTTGTCAAAGCTAAGTGTAAAGAACCAACTGGGGCTCATGAAAGTAGAGACAAAGGTGGGGAAGGATGCCGGAGAAGAGAGGTTCCCTGGACTTACCTGGTGCCACTTGCCCATCTCCTTGGGTATGAAGAAGAGTACAGGCAAAGCAATCAGTGTGACAAGGGTGAGGGTCGAGGACCCCCAGAGCATAAGTCCCAGCAGACACAGTCCTCAAAAAAAGTACCACAAGAGCAGGTTTAGCCTCTCATTCAGGGACTCACTCAGCATGACTGTGTCCTGTGACACACGAGAGGTGATAGCACCTAAAGAGGAAGAAGAAAAGTTGAGGGTCTGGAATAGTTGGAAAGGGAAATGGAAACATGAAAAGGGGCTGAGGCAGATAGGAAAATGTCTGGGAAATTTTTGGAATGAACGTAGGAGCTCATTAGTTCAGCCACTGTCTAAGGGCTCCTAAAGGGGTTATGGGGCCCCAGAAATTTTAAAGAGGGATGTATAAGGTTGGGTGCTGGAGCAGGACCACAGCTGCAAAGTTCCCCTTGAGGATATAATGATGTCAGTCATGCCATCATGAAGCCAGAGGACTAAAGGTTCACATTCTAAATGTGGCAAGTTATGGGGGAACAACAAAAGTATTAGGAGGCAAATCTCTCTGGTTCTGAGAATAAAGTGAGTGTAAGATTAATATTTTTGTATAGATGGGATATATAGTAGTTTGTCTTTTCTGATCTTAAAAGGCTTAAAAGGCCAAGGAAAGTATGATGAGTACTATATAGGACTTTATAAAAGGCATAAGGAAAGAAAGAGTGTGGGGGGTGATATGTTTCATTCCCACTGATACCACTCTGGGATAGACCTTCCTCCTAATTTCCACTCACTTGGACTATTGCAAGAGGTTTTTTGTCCCTACTCTCTTCTTCCCCTAGTCTATCCTTCATATTGCTACCAAACGATTCATTCTTGTGCATAGATTTTATCATGTAAATCTCTCTGTACAAGTTTTCAGAAGTTCCTTATTGTCTACTAAATAACATTTGGATTCCTCCTGTCTATCATTCTAGGTCCTCCCCAATCTCCCACTTTCACTCATTTCATAATATTCTCTACACAATCAGCTCCCTATCCTCGTAAACTGTTCTCTCATACTGACATGCCTTTGTTCCTTATGCTTGGAATGTCCTCTTTCTCCACCTCTGCCTGTGAATTCCTATACGTTCTTTCAAGCTCAATTCCAGTGCTACCTCCCGCAAAAAGCTCACTTTGATTTCCTCTTATCCCTCAGACTGCAAGTAATATTTTTCTTTCCCATAACTTTCTATCATACTTATCATTTGATATTATGTATTGTAGCTAGCCATATTAGCATTCTGTTCCTCAGATGCTGTAGTGCCCCTTAAACTATGATTGACATGATTCATCTCAGTGTCCACTTTGTGACCTTTCTTACATTGTGCATATGGACATACTTGCTTCTTAGAATTTTGTAACTTCAAGCAGCACCCTTGCTCTCAGGAATAGAAATTAGTTGACATTGTTGCCAGAAAACATAAACGTATATGCATATATATGTATGTATATATATTATACATACTACATTAACAATGAAAGCTACACACACACACACACACACACACACACACACACACACACATGTTAGGAACTGGAATTTTATTTCCTCCTCCTCTACAGAATCTGAGCTAGCATTCATGTGTAGAATGTTTAGGAGAAAAGTTGTAAGTTCTTTCATCAGAAAACCTTTGATTTTTCACTTGAGAAAATGACCCAAAGTCATCCTTCTCCTACTGGTCAGGCACTTTAGAGACAGAACTCCTTGGAAATACCTTTACCTCTATTACTCCACTAGTATTCCACCCAGATGCACTCCTCTGGACATCTCCATCTTTGGGACCCTCTTTGTCCTGCAAAATCACTTCAGCCCTGGAACTCACACTGCATCAGCGCTCTCTGCCCCTGAGGCCCCTTGCTCCATCTGATTGGAAAGCTTTCCCAGAGCCTCTTCCATTTAAGGATAGTGCCCAGGGCACCCATCTCTTCATTTCTATCCCAGCTGCATTTCACTCTTCTGGATTTCCCCATCATGCCCCTGAGCTGGGTACCACCCCTCTGTTCCCACAGCTTTTCAGCCTCATTTTAGATGTTGTCTTTCTTCACTAAATTATAAATTCCTTCAGGGTGGGAGCTGTTCTTTCCCTTTTTTTCCCAAAATGCTTAGCACAGTACCTAGCACATTGTTGTTGTTTTGTTAATTAGTCATGTCCAACTCTTTGTGAGCCCATTTGGGGTTTTCTTGGCAAAGATACTGGAGTGCTTTGCTATTTCCTTCTCCAGCTCATTTTACAGATAAAGAAACTGAGGCAAACATGGTTAAATGACTACTCCAGCGTCACACAATTGGTAGGCATCTGAGGCTGGATTTGAACTCAGGTTTTCCTGACTCCAGGTCTGGGACGCCATATACTGCACCACCTAGCTGCCCCACCTAGCACAAAGTAGGTGCTTAATAAATATTTATTGACAAACTATCCTGTATACCTAGGTGTAACCTAGTTACTCCTTATAATTTTTTGTTTTCACCATTCTACCCAGCCAAAAAGGTCTCTTCCATCTTCTGAAATATGACTACATAGGTAAGTATACATCTGGGCTCAAAGTGTACACTCCATGATAACTGGGATCATGGATCAGATCCTCCATCATCTCCCTTTGTTGGCCAAGAGTAGATTGAGAAGCATTTGAATTCCATACTCTCCCTAAACCCCCACCTTCAATCAACTGTTATACTCCAAAATCGAAAAGCAGAACTTTGGAAGCGAAGGTTGCAGATAGCACTTGTTCCCCATCATTTCCCATGTGAGAAGTCCTGCCCCACAGAAAGAGGAGTTTTTAACGTGCGTTAGAGATGGGTCTTTCCCTGTCCAAAAAGGAGAAGCTGGGAAGCCATATTTGAAGCTGCCACATCAGCTCAATTGGGACACAGGCGATAGCAAACAAGATTTAGAACTGCAAAAGCCCTAAGAGGGCACCAAGTCCACCCTTTTCTTTTTACAGATGAAGAAACAAAAATTAAAAGACTTGCCCAAGGTCATGCAGCCAGGAAGTGCCTGATGCTGAACTGAAACCCAGGTCTTCCTGACTTCCAGTCCAGGACTGTATCCACTATGCTATGTTGCCCTTCCTTTGAGGACCACCACACTGCTCTTGTCTCCAGTAATCTTCAGGCCTCATCCAGCTTTATAGACTATTCTTTGACATACGTCCCTTGGAGACAGAAGTCTTAGGCATGGTTTTCTCTTTGTTCCTTGGTGTGGACCCCTGAATTACTACATGATCATTGATGTGGGGAGGCCTTTGGGGCCAAAAGTCGAGGACAGCTGATCAAATGTCCTCATTTTAAAGCTCCTTGAACTCACACAGATCTCACATTCAAATTGATGTAGTGAGTAGTCCCTCTTCACCCTATTATTAGACGATAAGCTCCAGAAGGGTAGGGACTGGGTCTTATCTAAATTTTCTATCTCCCCTAGCACCCAGCACAGCTCTCTGAATAAAGCTAGTGTTTAATGAATGTTTGATGCTTTTTGTTGTAAGGGAATAGATAGAAAGTAGTATAAGAATGTTCTTGTGTGAGGGTACAAGGACCCACCTGCTTAGTTCTGTTGAAAAAAATCAGCCTCCTGGGACAGCACAGCCCGGAACACTTGTCCCTGAAGGTTGTTGTGGGCTTGGCCCATTGTGTAATTGTAAATTCCATCACCCAAGAACTCTAACAAAGCACTGGGAAGAAATGAGAGGAAGGGAGGAGGATTAGGTGGAGGCTTAATATTTGGGAGTGAGGGAGTCTTCTGCTGTATCAACCTGCCCAGAGTGCCGGTCTAGCTTCCAACTTCCTCAGTTCCCTAGTTCCCCATTCTCTGAGTTTCCAAGCCCAGTTCCCAGACCTGGCTAGCGTGAGTATCGACATGAAAGCGATGTTGCAGTTGAAGACGGCAGCTGCTTCATCCTCCAGGATCCAGTCTGTGAGGCGACCAGTAAAGAATGGGATAGCCATCTCTCCTGGAGGTGATGAGGTAGCATCAGGGAGGGAGAGAGTGACAATTAATCCACTAATAGATGCTTATTGGAGGTTTACTATATCAAAGCTGGGGACTTGCAGTTGGACTACAACTCCATCTTCCCTGGTACAGAGATAAAAAGATAATTCCCTCATCTGAAGAGTCACCTTTATCACACAGTTACACCCCAATCCTCTCACTATTTCCACAAACCATAGGATGTTACACCTCTCTGTTAGGCCCCTATGAGATTACACAGGCCAACCCTCCATCTGAGACAGAAACCCAGAGAGGTAAGATGAATTTGCCAAAGTCATACAGCTTAACACACAGCATTAGGACGTAGATCTCCTGACTCCTAGGCAGTTGTGGTGTAAAGGCAAGACAACTAGATTTGGAGTCAGACGTTCTGGATATAAAGTTCTGCCTACAAACCTCTCTCCTGTTCCCCTGACTCACCGCCCATAATCTTCAATTCTCCCCAATTTGCCCAGTCCCTTGCATTCTCCCTCTCCTCACCTAGACAGGACAACAGGAGGAAGAAGATCACTAGTGGGAAGCGACGCAGTTCTGGGCCCAGGAAGCCCAGCAGCCGGTGTATGATGGACCCCGAGCCCTTGGGACTCCCCGGCACCCAAAGATCTCCAAGTTTCTGCCACAGGAAAAGCGCCAGCAGTGCCACGGCATAACTGAGAGCGAAAGCATCGAGCCGGCTCCCCCAGTACAGCTGCCCGGCCTCGCCTCCACCCCTCGGAGCCTCCCTCCCTCCCAGAGCCCTGAACGAGGCTAGCCCGGGCAGCGTCAGTCCCAGTGCTGCGGTTAGGGGCCCCAGCGCAGTCCTCCAACTTTTAGCTCCGACCCCTTCCTGCTTAGTGGTCCAATGCACTCCCAGCCACAACATCCCCCAACGGCCCAGGCCAGCCATCCAGAGCCGGAGAAGCGGAGGCCCAGTGGGCAAGAGCACAAACAGTAGCTGAGGTAGCGCCGGACGGAGCAGCGCCCAGTCCATGAGAAGCAAGAGCAGCAGCGCCTGCAGCCCCCCAGAAGAGGTTCGGGGGCATAGGAGCGACCCGGGAGACCCAGAGCCAGCCATGCTCGGGGCGCTGTCCGGGGTCCTGAGACGGGTTCCTCTGCGTCCCTCCGCCCTGTGGCTAAAAGTCTGGGTCCCAAACCAAAGGGTGCCCAGTGTCTGTGTCTGGAGAGGCTCCTGGACAGGGCTAGGCGTAAAGGAAGAGTGTCAGATAACTTCAGGCAGCGAATTGTGCGGGTCTGCTCACTAGCAAGAAGCGAGGCCGTTTCCAGGAAAAGAAATCGAAACCTACTGAGGTTCCTTGAATCAGCCCTGACAAAACCGCCCCACTCAGGAGACCTGGGCCTGAGATTTAAAACAAGCCGCTTTTCCCCGCCCCTAACCCCACGTCTCCAACCGCTACCTCAACCCCACAAGTAGCTCAGTTCTCGGCTCATAAGAACCACTCCCTCCAACTGCCCCTAGCACAGCCTGTAGCGTCACCAATCACTGAGCAGATCAGCCCTAAACAGGTTAGGAGCTGGACTAGACCACAGGCCAATGCTACAGAGGAACCCGTAGAGGGAAGCAGAGCAAGAAGGGGCGGAGCTGGCGCTCTGTACCGCTGGCGGAGAAGAGCAATGCACAGCGCTGTCAGGATGCTGGAGAGTTCTTATTTTGGGAACCTTCCCGGAGTCGGAGAAGTCCATACCGGGGTAAGAGTCTCGAGGGACAGCAAAGAGGGATAGAGAGGGGGTAAAGCTTTGGAAGCCCGGCGTCACGGACCAAGCCGAAGAATACACGTGGAAGGAACCCTTCACCATCCTTCCTCTGGCAGCCCACAGTAGAAGGAAAAGTCTCACTTTGGGAGAGGCAGTCTAGGGGTATGGAGTGCGGATGAACTCTAAAGGCTGCCGGAGGAGGCCAAAGAGGGGCGTCCATACTCCGCGGCAGAGGCCGAGGGAGAAGCGACTTCAAAGCCCTTTCGCTTTCGCTTCATTGGGGAAACTTGGCAGGGGTGGATTTGGAGGAAGAGTAGAGAAAAAGAAGGTAGATTCCAGGAAGGAGCCCCGTGGTCACTTGGACCATGGGATCTGTATGAGTGAAAAAGTAAAGGAGTAAAATTTTTCTTTAAGAACGATCAATTCATCGCATAGACTGCTTCCAGTAGTATTCATGGGGGAGAGGGATAGCTATAGGAGGAAGTGGGGGAGTACCCCTGGTCTGGTGATGCCCCAGGTAATCTTCATCCTTGGTTCAGGCGTGACCATGCTAATCACGTCACACAAAGCTATTCTGGGGACCTAGTCCATAAACTGATTGCCTAAGGAAGATAGGGAGGAGGAAGTGGAGTGGCAGCAAGCAGACAATTGACCTGCCCTCACTGCCACTACTCAAGGATTGGGGTAGGCACAGCTCTGTAGCACACCAATGACTGAGGAATGTAGGGCTGCCTCATCACTCCTCGTGATCGATTTAATTCAGCAGACATTTAATCAGCACCCGCACAGACCCCAAAGCACTGGGTGAAGAGATAAAGAAAGTCAAACAAGGTCACTGACTTTATGGAGCTTTCAATGTTAATGGGCATAACACTGTGCAACATCTACACAGAAACTACAGTTCCGAAGAAGGAATGAGGTGATACAGTGAAAAAAATTTTGGAGGAAATGGCGTTCTTTTAGTTGGATCAAGAAAACTGGACAGGATTTAAATGGAGAGAGAGAGAAGGCATTAGAGATATAGGGAAAGACATGAACAAAGGCATTGAGGTAAGAAAATGGGGAGACTGGGGATCAAAGAGTTGAAATCATTAGTCCAAGATCACACAGCTGTTTAGTAGCAGGCCTGAGTTTGGACTCAGGTCTTCTGAATCATAATGAACAAATGGTAAATGAGCGGCTAAAAAAATAAAATATTTAAGGGACAATAGCATGAGATAAGTGTAAGAAGGTAAATTATAACCAGCTTGTGGATAGTGAGTGGTCTGGTTTGAATAAGTCACAATAAGTCATTAGGACAGTCTTCTGGAATACAGAAGTAGTGATTTTTACTTCAGGCAACAAAGATAATAATAACAGATATTTACAAACCAGTCAAGCATAAGTGTATAATGTTCTAACTAGGTTCAAACCATAGATTCCAGCTTTTTTGGAACTCAAGATTTCTCCTCTGGCTACCAGAGAACTCTATTCCCCCCCCCTTATCAAAACCTGCTTAACTAAATCTCTTCAGTTTAAAAAAAAACGTCCCCATGGCTGAGCTCCTAAAGACCCAACCCTCACTTCATCATCCTGAGAGCTTACCAACACAATCATCTAAACTTACTGGGAACAGCCAAGCAACAATTTCCATTTAACAAATTCCTGGTCACCCCCTTAGCTAATGCCATACCATATCTAGATACAAAACATCACAAATTCCAACTTTTTACACTGGAGGTCACTTCAACATGGGAACAACCAGGCCTGTAAAGGTACCCACAGTCTTCCCCAATCCCACATCCCACAACCTTCCCTCACCAAAAAGATAACAAGTGGTCCCTGGGATTTTTCTAATATTCTTTTCCCTATGGTGGGGAAGGATGTTCTTGGGGGAATCTAAGATTTAGGCACTGAGATCCTGACCCTTTGCCAGGTTGAGATACCTCCTCCCTACCATATAAAGGAATGGGGCATAATAGTGAGAATAGCATATTGGAAGTCAGACCTCTTGATTCCTCTTCCAGCTTTGCCACTAACCAACCTTGTGACAGCTTTTGTGTGTCTGTTTCTTGTAATCTGTCTGTTTTCTGTTACTTGTAAAATGAGGGGGAGAGTATAAAAGTATCTTTCAGCTTTAACATTCTAAAAGTTTATGTTTCTATAGACAACTATAATGGCAGTGGAGTTTGATGGTGGTGTCGTGGTGGGTTCTGATTCCCGAGTTTCTGCAGGGTAAGTATCAGGGGAGGATCAGGGATTAAGGCACTCTCCCCAACAGGCATGTTGCCTAGCCCAGGCATAAAAAGCACTGCAGAGGTAGTTTTAGAACAACTGGGGGTCAACATGAATAACAAAGCAGGGGCCGGCATAATAAGAAGTTGGAAGCAGACTATGGAAGGAAATTTAAAGGGATGAGGACCTAGGTAAGTGTATACTTAGGTAAAATAGGGATACTGGGGTGGAGGATATCTTTGCTAAGACTGAGAACACCAGGATAATTGAGAAGTGTAACTAGAAAGGATGAGCAAATAAGGATTATGTCTTTATTCCTCAAGTCTCTTCCTTAATAGCCTCTCCTTTATCATCTCCTTCCTCTACCATTCAGAGAAGCTGTAGTGAACAGAGTGTTTAACAAGCTGGCCCCTCTGCACCAACGAATCTATTGTGCACTGTCTGGTTCAGCTGCTGATGCCCAGGCCATAGCTGACATGGCCACCTACCAGCTAGAGCTTCATGGGTATGAGTCAAGAATGGTCTTGGGATTTTTTATTCTCTTCTTCATATACTCCCCACCTAAACTACTACAGCTAGATTATCTCCTTCATTATATTCCCCTAATCCAATGCTACTTAACACATATAGAGTAAGGAGACTGTGGTGGGTGGTGGGTGATTAAGTGACACAGTGGTGAGGGTATAGAGACCTCTTTAGACACAATGAGAAGGACTCTAGCTCTCATCAAAGGAATTTATAGTTAGTATTGGAGTAGAGAAGGGGAAGCAGATAACAAATGAAGAGATAAGTGAAAAATCAAAAGTGTACTGAAATTAAGTTTGGAGTATTATAGGTGTAGGTTTTCATGTTTGGTTTATGAGGATTTGAGAGAGAGGCAGGAGTGTGGTAGTTCGGGGAACAATGGCTATCAATCTCCACAGGATGGAGTTAGAAGAACCCCCTCTTGTTCTGTCTGCTGCAAACACAGTGAGGAATATCACTTATAAATACCGAGAAGAGCTTTCAGCCCATCTGATGGTGGCTGGCTGGGATCCATACGAAGGAGGACAGGTGAGACCCTCCCAAAAGGATCACTACACTTGCAATTAGTTAGAGGAGTAACAAATCATCCTGTCAATGAGGGCCAGAGCTACTGTTGCTGTAGGTTAATGTGTGGTTTCAGTGTGAGGCCTGAAGTTGGGAATCTAAGGCCTAGGCAAGGGAAAGAGGCTCTCTCCTTTGGGACTCCAAAAGAGGAGAACTGTAGTCAGGAAAACCTGAGTTCAAATCTGGCCTCAGACACTTACTAACTGTGTGAGCCTGGGCAAGTTATTTAACCTCTTTTTGCCTCAGTTTCACCATCTGTTAAATGGGGATAATAATACCACCTACTTCCCAAGGTTGTTGTAAAGAAAAAAAAAGATAATAATTGTAAAATGTTTAGCATAGTGTCTGGCACATATTAAGTGCTATATAAATGTTAGTTATCATCATCATCATCATCATCATCATCATCTAACTTTTTGATTACCTTATCTCAGGTGTATGGGACCTTAGAAGGGATGCTGATTCGACAGCCTTTTGCAATAGGAGGCTCTGGGAGTAGCTACATTTATGGCTATGTGGATGCCACCTATAAACCAGGCATGTCCCCTAAGGAGTGCCAACAGTTCACTACTAATGGTAACTATCCCTTGGGGAAGGGAAGGGGGAAAATTAAAACTAAAGCAGTGATCCCTGGGGAGGGAGAAACAAAAAGGATGGATACCCTGGGCTCTGAGAATAGCCTAAAGAGATAGACAAGAGAGTCTATAACCAGGATAAACCTGCCTCTTCCTCTGCCTGTTCAAATCTTTCAATAGCTATTGCTCTGGCCATGGGCAGGGATGGCTCCAGTGGAGGGGTCATCTATTTGGTCACCATCACAGCTGCCGGCACCAAACAGGAAATCATCCTGGGGAAAGAGCTACCCCAGTTCTATGATGAATGAGGCATCATCACATATTACTCCATCTCTTTGATTTCTAATAAACTTCTTGTATTCAGAGTCTGGTGTAGTCATTGGGAGCAACTCAGAGGATTTGGAAAGAGGAGAAGACAATGTGGCATAGGGGCAAAAAACCAGGGCTGAGACTCAAGAGTGTAGCTCTAATCCCTATTCTTCCATAATTTTGCTGTATGACACTGGGCAAGCTACATCCTTTCTCTGGGACTCAGTTTCCCCATTTATCATCTGAAGTTGACTTATATGATCTGTAAAGTCATTCTAAGATTCATTCCTGCTCAACAGTCTATGAATCTGTTAGTATGAATCTGAAGAACATGGTTCCTCATCAGTGAGGAAGCAAATATTTCTATCTCCCTCCTGACTCTACCCCTAGGCCCTGCTTTCACAGAATAGAAGAGACAAACAAGGCCCCAATCTTGGAAAGAGCTCTCTTACTAGGTCCTATGAAATGTAGGGAAAACTAGCGATAGTGTGTGTGTGTGTGTGTGTGTGTGTGTGTGTGTGTGTGCGCGCGCACATGTGCATGTGCGTGCGCATGTATCATATATAGCCATAGCTCTGATACGGTTCAAGTCTAATAGTGCTTGGTAAGAGACAAGATAAATATGAATTGCAATGAATTTAAATGTAGCTTCAAAATGCTTAATTTCTGAAATAACCATAAAACAAACATTAGCTATGGAAAAGATTTTAGAGATTAGCTTAATATTACAATCTTCAGTACTTAGCACAGTGATTGGCACATAATCGATACTTAACAAATGTTCATTGACTATTGACTATTCTGCAGTGAAACAGAGGTACAAAAAGGAGTAGCAACTTGTCCAAAATTGTATAACTGGTGTTACCTAACCTCATATTGTAGAATACATAAGTGTCATATACTGAGAAATAGCAAAGAGGTTCTAAGAGGCAGTGTGAGCTAGTGAATAGAAAGCCAGCATCGGTATCACTATAATTTTCATTCAGATTTCACCTCTAATGCATGCTAGTTCGCAAATCACTTAACCTTTCAGTTTCCTAGGAAACTTTCTAAATCTTTACAGAACAGCCGCTGGTCTGTGTAAAAAGAGGGAGCTTCATAACCAGGACTCCCTATTCCTATAAAAATCACAAGTTTGGGTAAAATAATAAAAACTTTTACAATAATGTAACATTTGAGTAAATAACAACATTGGGGAAAATTAGGAAGCAGGTTAGCAGAAAGCACATTTAGTGTTTTCTAGTTTCTAGTATTAACTAGAAACTAGTTAGACTAGTTTCTTGCACCATATACCACTGTAAGTTCCTAGCAGAGTCAATCAAAACAAAAAAACAAAAAGAAGGAAAAATAGGAGGTGACATTCACAACTGTGTTCAGAAAGGAGAATCTGTAACCAAACAGAGGAACAGAGGTGATCTTAAAAGATAAAAGAAACAATTTTGATTATGTAAAATTTATAAGATTTTTCATGGACAAAAGAAATTTGACTACAATAAGAAATAGAAGATAATGAATGGGGAAAATTGTAATCATCACACATCTAATAGAAGTTTCATATTCAAAATCTGTAGAAAATTCTCTTACAAATTACATATATGTCATATATCCAATATATGTAGAGAATTGTCTTAGTCTTTTTTTTTAAAGGCAATTGGGGTTAAGTGACTTGCCCCAGGTGACTTGCCCCGGGTCACACAGCTAGTAAGTGTCAAGTGTTTGGTCAGAGGCCAGATTTGAACTTAGGTCCTCCTGACTTCAGTGCCAGTGCTCTATCCATTGTGACACCTACCTGGCCCTAGAGAATTGTCTTAGTCTTACAACAAATATGTAAGACACTAATCTATTCTCAAATAGATATGTGGTCAAAATATGTGACAATTTTCAAAGATGAAATTAAATCTATCAATACACGTATGAAGAGAAATGCACATCAAGACAAGGGATGTGAAAATATCAGAAAAGAACAGTCACTACTGGAATTTATCAATGTGGGTGTTAACAGAATTTCCCTGAGCCATTCTCTAACCTGGGAATTCTTGGAGCCACACAAAGCAGGCCTAGAAACAGGAGTGCCAGTAATCAAGTATTGGTTTGATTCATCAGTTTCAGAGTAAGGAATGCTCTCTAAGCTGGGATAAAAGCACAGCTTATATACATGAATCACAAACAGGGAAGGAGGAGTGGATTACAAACAATCATTTCCAGGGCCTTAGTGGTTTCCCATGACAAGCCCTCAAGTCCACAACATAGGTGTTCTGGAGTCCTGTGGGAACAGTATTGTTTTGAGTACTTGGGGGTCGTTATTTAGTGGGGTGCAGGACAAGAGTTATGTGATGAGAACAAGTTCTACAATCTGATTTGCTTCACTTAACATACACTAGCACAGGAATGTGGTGATTGTGAGAGTGTTGTCAAGGGTTTGATTGACCATTTCAAGCTGCATTGTAAGACTCTGTCTCACAAGCCAGAGTCTCCTGAGAAATCTAAATTATTGGTATATCCATTGCACATATCATATCGATTAATATGAAAATCGTAATTCCCTTCACATTCCCTCCTTTTGGTCAAAGGGTAAGAATGACTTGTAGACTGAAGAAGAACATTCATTTGAAACATGATTTTTATAAAACATTTTATAGAAATTTGCTATAAAAGGGAAAAGAGGGACATGGTAGGGAAAAGTTCTGATTCCAGACATAAGTCATATCTGACAGCCAATCATGTCAAGGCTCAGGATTGACAAAGTGGGAATTCTCCTTTTCCAGAAAGGAAATGACACAATGCAGAAATAGAATCAGGAGGATCCTACCTAGGTTGTTCCCACAACCTTTTCCAGGCACAGATATTGACTTTAGCAGTCCTCAGACTGCTCAACATGCCATTCTCTATTATTGGCTTTGTGACAATTCAGATAACCACCCCAGTAATCAAAATTCAAAGCAAATTACAGTCCCAGGAATTTTTACCATAAATGGCAAAACTTTCACTAATCACAACTTAGGGAAAGAAGTGCAACATAAAAGTGAAAGGAAAATATACTGCTACTTCCATGAACACTGAGACAGTAACAAGGAGAAAGAAAAGGCTTAGTTCATAAAGAGAGGAACTGCAAACCTCAGCCCATGTCAGATTTCTTGGATCGGTGGTCTACATCAGTTGTAGTCTGCCTCTCAGCCTGGGGGTCTTGAGAATAGCTGTTTACCTCTGATGTCAGCTGCTTTGGAGCCTATTTAATTTGGGGGATCAGGTCACCAGTGGGTTCTGCAATCGAAGTGGCCAGTATTGCCCTTTTGATATGTGACAGGTGGATCCAGGACTCCACTCCCCAGAGTTTGGCAGCAGTGGTGGTGGTTATCAAGACTTCAAAGGAGCCTTTCCACTGTGGTTCCAAGGAGTGTTTTTGGAGATGACATTTCCAGTAGACCCAGTCACCGGGTTGGATCAAGGGTTTAGTATTGGTTAGAATTTCTAAAGGATGGGAATAAGACAAGTTGGTAAGTCTCTATTACTTTCTGAGTATTGGAGGGAGCCTTTGGCTGCTATGCTTCTCATACATGGGTACAATGGCATTGGGCATCTTGTTACTATCTCATAAGGACTGAGCTTATGGGAACCAAAATGGTCTAGATCTAAGGCTTAGCAGGGCTAAAGGAAGGGCTTTGGGCCAGGGGATACCTCAGCTCCTCAGAGAATATTTCAAGGGAGGTTTTAAGTATCTCATTAACTCTTTCAACCATTGCTGATGATTGGGGGTAATAGGCAGAGTGGAGGTGCTAAGTAATTGGCCGAGATGAAAACAGCTTAGCTAATGCAGCTCCTGTGAAATGGGTGCCTCTGTCACCTTAGGAACCCCCCCATAATGGAATGATTTTTTCCTAAGAGTATTTTTGTTACCCCCAGAAGCTGTGGCAGCATGACAAGAGAACACTTCCACCCATCAGGAGAACATACAGATCATAACCAGAGCATATTTGTAACCACGGGTGGGTGGCAATTGAATGAAGTCATATCTGTTAGGTTTCAAACAACACATCTGGGAGAGGAAACTGCCCACAGGCTGGCTTCAGAGGCTTTGATGCACTGTGCTAGGGGCAGGTGGGACACATCTCATAGGCCATGACAGCAGCCCTGTGGAAATTCCCTCACCAATATTTTCAGGCTAGCTCCATTAGCTTGTTGGGTCCCCAATGGCTGAATGAACAAAGGTGCTCCATCATACAGAGGAATAAATCCTTACGGAGTACTGTAAGTGTGTTTGGGCTGACTCATAGTCCTGAAATCTTATGAAGTCTACATTCCTCCTTTTGAAGCTTTTCGTGCTTTGTGATAAACACTATTTTCTGGGTTGTGGCTATCTCTCCTTTTGTTAGGTTAGGAGGCATAGCCAGGCCTTCAGTTTGATATGAAAATGTTAACAAGGCCATGCTTAGAGGGTCTTGTACCTCAGGAACTTGAAGAGTCAGTTCTAGCTGCTTAGTGTGGGGTAGAGGGAACTGAAAGATAGATTTAAAGTGGGACAAAGTCTAAGCAAAGGCCAGGGGCAGAGAGATGATGTCCTAAGAACTTAATAGAGGGGACGGCAAACTGGACTTTGTCCCTCGATACCTTATGACTTCTTGCTGCTGAACCATTAAGGAGGTATACAGAGTCGCAAACAAAAATATCTTGGGAAGGAGAACAAAAGAAAAGGTCATCAACAAACTGGCAGAGGAGAGAGTCTTTGAAATCTAACTGGGACAAGGCTTGTATTAATATCAATGAGAATTAGGATGGTGACTCAGTGAATCCCTGTTGGAAGGACAATCCAGGTGTATTGGCGTCACTCCCAGGTAAAAGCAAAAATGAATTGGCTTTCAGGGGCAACTGAGACTGAAAAGAAAGCACTACAGAGGCCAATCACCATGAAGTAGGTGGCCAACGGTGGTACCAGGTTAAGCAGTGTGGGGGTTTGGCAGATGGGTGCTCTGGGTGTTACAATAGCATTAACTGATAGAAGATCATGCACAAGTCACCAGCCCCTCCCACCAGGCAAGATGGGCATGTTCACAGGGGAAGT